TCTCTTTAGTTATGTCGGTTTGTGTTGGTGTTGTTTCGGTGTGATCTTTGGTGGAAAGGGGTTCAAAGCTGTTTGATGTTGGGACGCTGTATGTCTTGCTTGGGTTATTGGAGGACATCGACGCCCATGTGGGAATTTCAAGTTGGGATTCTTTTTGTTTTGTATTCAACATTTTTAATAAGTTTGTGTTTTTTTCTTCGATTTTTTTGTATCGTTTATTCATGGCATTAATATCTTCTTTAATTTGCAACTGGTTTACTGTTAGGTCACTTATAATTTGCTGCTTTTCTTTGCCAGCAGATTTTAAAGCCATTATCTCATCTTTTAGGTAACTTATCTCTTCATCTTTCTTTTCTATCAAGACAGAGAGTTCTGAAATTGCATTCTGATTGTTTTCTTTATATAAGATGAATTCTGCCTCGAGGTTTGAAAGTTGTGATTTCATTAAAGCGAATGTCTTTTCTCGAGGTATAGTCGGGGTCATATTCTCTTCAGAGAATTTTGTTGGTGCTTTCTCAGTGGGAGAAGATGGTTGTTGGTGATGAATGGAGGTTAAGACAAGGACGGTAGGATCAAATTTAAAGTAGCAGTTGCCGTGGCTTGAAATGTAGCCGTTGTCGATAAAAGACGTGATGATCTCTATTAGAGACCTTACGATTTCAGGACAGCAACGCGACGGCAACGGCTACCAATACAACAGATCATTGAAAAGAATTGAGTAATTACAATATATGAATAATTTAGACATTGTCCTTGCTCTGTTTACAACGCTAATGATCACAGATTTTCACGTCTTGATACAACGGCTATGTTCCAAGTCACAACATGTGCAACTTCAAACTGGGTTTAGCAGAACTCTTCCCAACCATAAAACCCATGTCTTCAACTTCTAAGACTGTATTAAATTCATACGACTGATAATATACGACGAACTATCTTTACTACCATTTATTTGAAGGAGTTTGTTTTGGCCGTCGCCCATCGCGTTGCCGTCCTAAAATTGTAAAGCCTAGTTTCCATTTGGTCGTTAGTTGTCGCTGGCACGACAAGCGGTAGATGTGAAATAGTCTAATATAATAATAGTCTTTTTGTGTGTTATATGCAAATCAGTCTTAATGATTGCAGAGTTTTATAAAGTTTTGTTGACACTCAATTCAATTCAATTTATTCAATTCAATTTATTAAGTCAAATTAATTTACAAAATCAATAAAATGTTGCTGTCCACAAATAGCAAAAGCTAATCGTGGTGGACAGCAACTACACACATTCGGAATTAAAGAAGATTTCAAAATTCTTTAGTAAATACAAGCTCCATTCATCACCAAAAGGCATATATATGATAGAAATACATTCACCATATATACAAACATAATGTCTAACGAATGATCAGACTTAAATTCAAGATCACAAAATAATTTAACTTTTAGATTATTGCGATTTCTTTTTGTATTGCTAGAATATCAATATAGTCGTCTTTCTTTTCTAATATTCGAAGTAACTTTCTATGTAAAACTTTTTTAAAGTGATTCTTTGATTTTTCACATAGTTCTGTAGCAACGCTATTCCAAATTCTACCTCCCATTCTTGAGAATGATTTGCTTTGCACATCTAAACCTGAATATTCAACGTGGAAGTTCTTCCTAGTGGAAGATCTGGGGTTGTGTTCGTGTACCTGACTTAATGGGGTAAACAAAGCCGAAATATTTGGGGGTACTACTGAACTTGATACGTCATGCATTAGTATTGATACTGATTTGCAATAAAGCAAATTTATTGGCAGAACATTAGCTGACAGAAAATAAGGAATGGCATGAGACAGATAGTGTGCAGAATATATTAAACGAAGAGCACGTTTTTGGAGTTTAAGGATTTTATCTAAGTAACATTTGGCAGCACATCCCCATACAACAATAGCATAAGTTAGGTAAGGCAAGTAGTAATAGACCCCACTCTGGGGACGGAAGTAATTAGTATGCAAATTTAGGTGTCGGAAGTAATTAGTATGCAAAATCTATGACGTCACTTTGTTCGGCTAACAATCTGGCGGATTTTATAATGAGCATGCAAAATCTATGACGCCAGGTAGCGCGACCAATTAACGAGGGCAGGCCTGGGCCAACTGTGACAGGTAGCGCGACCAATTAACACGGGCAGGTCTGGGCCAAATGTGGCAACGCGAGCAATTAGCATTACAATACAGTAACACCACTATAAATACAGCTAGTGTCCTTTCACCTGCATAGTCTGTATTCAACGCTCACGATGGAATGTTTTCACGGTAAACCAGCTGCTTGTTCTACAACTGCTCGTGGTACGTTTTGGTTTTGTGGCGAAACACCGAGCTGTGAGTTCTTTTGCCATGACGAAGAT